ACCCCGGGCCTTCAGGTGCCCCTCTCCCTTTATGCCTCCCTCCTCTCAGTGCTGTCTTTTCTTTCAGCTGCCTCTCCCTGCCTCCCCGACTCTCGTAACCACACCATCTTCTTCAAAGAGATGTCTGCTTTCATTTCCATTTCCTCACCTTGTATTCACTCTTTGATTCTTTAGAATCTGGTGTCCACCTTCCCTGAAATGACTCTAAACTAGGTCAAAATATCTCCTGTTGCTAAATCCAAAATCCTTATCTTATGTGATTCATCTGCTCCATTTGGCACTGATAAACATTCTGTCCTCCATAAAAGGCCCTCCATGACAACTCTTCTCAGTCTCTACTTCCCCTTCCCCGTCCCGAGATTATGGAGTTGTTCAGATTTCTGTGCTGACCCTTCTTCTCTTTTCCTCCTACGTACTCTCCTTTGGCACTATATCTACTCACATATTTCAGTTCCTGTTTATACGTTAATAACTCCAAAACAGTATTTCCCTTGAAAATGATCCACATATCCAACACAAATCCAACTGGATACTTCCTCTCTGATGTACTATAGGCACTCAAAACGTAACATATCCAAAACCGAATTCTCCAAACCTCCTTCATTGTGTGAGACTTCCTCCTTATCCTCCTTCCCAAACTCACAGAATTGCATCTCCATCCACCTGAATGTGGTCTTCGACTCTTGCCCCTTTCCCCTCTTGGCAAATAGATTTCTTTCTAATTGTCTTTCTAATCTGTCCACTTATCCACATTCACACTGCTACTATCTTAACTGAGGCCTCATTCTCAAAAGCCTCCTAAATTCTCTTTCAGCATTCAGGAATGCCCTGCCTTTGCCCCCAGATGCATTCCCTCCTTTGGGGACAGCAGACTCTTTGCAGGGAGGAAATCTGATTCTGTCACTCCACTGCTTAGAAACCATCAATGGCAACTCTTAAACATCAGAAGAAGATGCCCACTGCACACACTGAATATAACAGAAAGTGCTAGCTAATTTGGCCACTTCTTGCTTTTCAGACTATCTCTTGCCGATCAATTCAAACCCATCCTACTTCTCTCGCTGTGTGGTCCAGCCATGTATGTAGTCTGTGCAATTTCATGAGGCTAGAAGGTTACATAATAAAATGTTGATAGTAATTGTTTTTGTTTAAAGAGTTGCTTGCCATTTTGGCTTTGTCTTTTGCAGCATGGTTTCTTTTATTTTTTTTCCCTCCAATGTGCTATTTTTATAAGACAAAAATAAAATTTTAAAGAATCAAAATCGAAAAGCAAGGCTTAAACAAATCAGTCACTTACTGCTGTAAAACTGATTTATTTTTACCTTAAAACATCCCAAATATTAATACCATGGTCTCACCATATGTATGTATATAAATGTCCTCTTCAAAGTAGCAAATGCCCTTGTCATATTTAACTGACAGCTGTTCATATATACATCCAACAATTTTGATATTTAAAAGATATGTGTCTGTTCCAGGAAAACTGCTGAATCACACAACTCAAGGTCCAGGCAATTCATATATCATGCAACATCATTACCCAGTTCCTAGTAAGTGCCAGGCTCTGTATTCATCATGGTCCAGGACTAATAATCCCCTTCACTCCTACAAAATAATAACAGCTCAAAATTTTTTCCAGTGTTTTTTTTTAAAATTATGTTAAAGACTTCATTTATTTGAGAGAGAGAGCACAAGCAGGGGAGAGGGGCAGAGGGGTGGGTGAGCAGGCTTCTCATTGAGCAGGGAGCCCAATGCAGGGCTCAGTCCCAGGACCCTGGGATCATGACTCGAGCCAAAGGCAGACGCTTAACCGACGAGCCACCCAGGTGCCCCTTTTCCAGTGTTTTTACTGAGCAAAAAACACTTCCTACCAGGTTACAAATTTGTTGTTCCTTTCCATACATTGATGAAGCCATCAGGATGACAAATACTTCGAGCTGTTTTCCTAAGTGGAAAAATAAATTCACACCCGATCTTTGCCCCCTCCTCACTTTCTTGGCTGTGCGACTAAAGGCAACCATTTGCAATGTAGCTTGCTGTAGGGGAGGTGTTCTACCTGTGCTCAGGGACCAGAGCAAAACCAACTGTCTCACTTTTGATCAAACCCATTCTTCAGTCCTCTTTATTCTAGTGAATAATAAACTATCTTATTATCCTAATGAACTAAAATCACTTGCCCCGTTAGACTCTAGAAGGGAAGTAGCAGACCTGGAAGTAAAGTTTTACAGGCCCCACAGTCACTCAGTGACAGACCGTCAGAGAAACAAATATGGCGGTCTCCAACCCCCCAAGCAGAACATATGCTTTGACAAGTGACTTAAGAGGTCCATGAAGGAGGACGTTGGGAGTCTACATATCTCATAAAATCTGGGCTAGAAGGTCACCACACCCAAAAAAAAAAAAAAAAAACCACTCCTACTCCAACCACCCCCACCCCATCCACCTTTTAGGAACATTTCATCTCTAACAACAAGAAACAAGAAGGCTGGGACTCAGTGCACAGAAATGGAATTAGCGACAGTGTCTTGCTCTAAAGCTTCTACCAGCTACAGTAAAGCCCGAGTTCCCAGCTCCACCTCACCTCACCTTGCCTGGGGGAGCCCGGCATTGCCAGCACACGCCCTTGGCCTCGGGCTCAGTGGCTGTGGCATTAGCCTATAAATCCTCAGTCCAACTTCTCTTAAACCCTCTGACCCTTCTCAGCAAGTCCTCCCGGGCTCCAAAGCAAGCCAATCCTCACCATCTCCACCATCTGGTCCCTTCCCTAACTTTCTACCCCCTTCTTTGTTCCCCTGTAGATCAACATGTTATATAATTTAACTGGGTTCTGAACCTTGTCTGGACCATGGCAGACTCAGTATACTCGGAGAGTAGAGATGATCTCCCTATAAAATAAATTCATGGGGCCATTTAACAGAGTAGCTGCAGGGCCTGGCTGAGAGCTGGCATCTCCCGCTGCCAAAACCTAGTTTCCCTTTATCTTTCCTTTTGTTCCACTTTCTTTTCATTTAAGGTTAATGTGGCTGGACTTTTCAAAACAGGTGACTCTAGCTATGTTAATAAAGCAAGGTGTGATAGCATCTTCCATGACTTCAGATGTCAAACACTGAGGAGAAGAGGGAAAAGTACTTTTAAATGACCACATCCTCTTAATAACATTCCAAGGGAGAGACCGCTTATCTTGATTTTAATTTTTCAGTCTCCTTTTATCTCTTCCTCCAAAAATATGGCTGAGAGCAAGATCACCCATGAAGCACTTATCGGAAAGACATTAACTAACATTTGTGGGAGCCAGCTGGAATATGGGGCAGATTGAGGGCAAGGACTGGAGGGGGAAAAGTGACAATGGTACCTGATGAGAATACACTTTCTACTTTGTAAGGCTGGGCATCATTTATAAACACAGACTTGAACACATTCAAATATTAAAGTTATTTGAGCAAAGCATGGCCTGAAATTCACCTCTGAATTTCCTCTGAAGAAAGAGCTAATCAAGCAAAATGCTTAGGACAGACAAACTTAGGGAGAGAATGTTTAACTTATTTAGAAATTTAAATTGTTTTCAGTCCCCAAAGAAACTCTGATTTAAAACAATCATTCTTACCTCATGTTTAAACTGTGGCTTTAAGCCTCTGTTGGCCAACATGACAACATCTCCCTTTATATGAAAGCCAGACTTCCAGAAACTTCAGCGTTGGTCAGTGTTGCTCAAAGTGAATGATCCGTGAACCACCTGTACCGGAAGCACCTGGAGTCCTTAGGCAGGTCTAGGCCCCATTCCCCCTTAGTCTCCCATCATCCCACCCCTTCTCCTGACCTTTCGAATCAGAATCTCCTCCAAGATTTAGTCTGGAGTCTAGAAGCCCTTCCAGGAAGGCATTTCTGGCAGCATGGATGGATATAGGTGGTCAGGCAGAATTTGGCCTATAAAAAAGACTTCTACCAAGGATTCAGCTAAAGACAGAATTGAAGAATCTTGGACTTCCAGTACTAGAGACCCAACTACTGATACCTGGACAATGACCAACAACATTTTCACTTACTAAAGAGAAACTATGGAGCCCAACGAGGCTTCTAGATCAAAGGGAAGGGAAGAAGTTAGGAATTAAAGACCAGAGACAATGACAATGACAATGACCAGGCAGAGGTTCAAGTCCAAAGATGGAAATCCAGAAACAAAGATCAAAACCCAATGGCAAAGCAGTTGATCAATAACTATAGAAAGAGCTGCAGTGAGCAGCAAGATGGACATGGCAGTGTGCTAAGGTCTTCTGAGGAAGGGGTTTGTCCAAGGCAGCTTCGTCCTTGAGCTGGGACAAGACATGTCCGCATAAGCTCACAAGCACATCTGATTAACAAGAACAGATGAATACTAATTAAGAGCCCAAGCTACTCCCAACATCAAGTCTCCCTGAACTCAGCATCATACAGGAGTTTCCATAACAATGCTTTGTGTTAAGTGTACAATGCCACCAACGGCTACAATTCATCATCACAGGGAAAGAGGACAGGGACACAGGCACTTGGGAGGGGAAGGCGCTGACATCACGTTATATCCCCAGGCCAAGTTTTAACAAGGGCAAGGTAAGTCATCATTAGCCCAGTGTGCAAGTTCCAGCAATCAAAACACTCAAGCCCGGGCTCAGGGGAACAGGCACACCTGTAGAGGAAGTACACTCATTGCTCAGTGTTGAGCAATTGACCACGCAAGAGGTGAGAGCAGAAGCCGGAGCTCTTCCTTCTCTGCGGCTTTCTCCAACCTACTAAGTAAACCAGCATTGTAGGCAGCATGAAATGACCTAAAAATCCCATTCTTTGAGAACCTAGTAGGGGCATTACACTAGCATACTATTTAACAGACCCAGTAACACTGGGAAACAAGCTGTGTGATCCCCATTTTACAAATAAGAAAGCCCAGGTACAGAGAGGATAAAGGATCTGCTCAAGAACATTTCTGACAATTTTTCATTTTTTTCCTTTTTTTTTTTTTTTGCCTTTGAAAAAATATGGAAGGCTTCACGGGTTTTCATGTCATCCTTGCCCAGGGGCCATACTCATCTCTGTATTGTTCCAATTTTAGTATACGTGCTGCCAAAGCAAGCGCTCTGGCAATTTTTCATGCTCAAAACACTCATCATACATTTTTCAGAAGCTGCTTCTTTTATAGTAAAAAAACAAATCATATGGCGATTTCATTACTTTTATCATGAAAAAGGGCTTTAGAAGTTGGGTACACATATGCATATACAAACATGCACCACCAGAGCCTCCATCTTGTATTGAGTTTGGGAAAGAGAGAATTTCCTGTGGATTTTCTTGAATGCCCCTCTCTTGTTTGACCCAAACTCTGCAAAGAAACCACTGGGATTACAACATGCATAAAGCTTGCATTAGTGTTCCGAAGTACCAGAGCCCACTCACACTTTGAACCTAGTTCTGTCCAACACCCAACAATGCTTTTTCCTACGATACCACGCTGCACCGCTGCACTTCCGCTTCCTTCTGCCCCCTTCCCCAACTCTCTCCACTCATTGGGATGTTACACAAAGATCAGGACCCAGTTCAAATTCCTACCTTCTACAGAAGACCTTGTGTGAGCCATCAGTCTGTGTTACCCCCTTTCTTCTCACTTTATAGCAAGAAGGGACAGACGAAGCAGTCAGCACCAAGACAGGTGTTTGAGAGCAAAATCAGAGATGGTGCAAGGCTAGGCTGCCAGGAAACTAGAAAAAAGGAATCAAAACAGAGTGAAAGCAGCCAAAATAGACCTAGGGCTGGTCTCAAGTCTACCTAGCAGGCAAGGAAACAAAAGTCATAAAGCTTTGCAGAAAACATTGAGGAGGAAAAGTCCATGAGTCAACCCCAGGGTTTGAGATGACTGGTGTGCTAGCAGGCAGACCAAGTATGGGAGCGGTGGTGACCTGGTCATTCCAGAGTCAATCCCAAAGTTGCCTTGAGGGCTAGATCTCTTTGGCCACAACGGGGGCACGGGGGAGTTGTGTCCGCCTTCAGAGCAAGGCGATGGAAACCCAGAATCTGACACCATGATTTCAACCAGCACCCTTCACCCAGAGGTAAAAGTTTCCCCGCCTCACAACATGATTTTAGGGACACAGGAAATAGCACTGACGGTTTCCATATTTACCACCACACCAATGCCTGAAATGTCTTTGGTTGTGAAACAGAACTTAATGGTTTTTATTAAGGATGAGCCTTGAGGTGCTATCAACTGGAAGGGAGGAATCGAGAACTCCTTCCCCAGGATCAGAGTGTTTGAAAGGGAAGAACTTGGCTCCAGAAAGGCAGAAAACACAGACCTCGTGGAAGGCAAAGCGGCGTGCAAGGTGGAAAAAAGGAAGTAGAACATTTCATAGTCTCCATTAGACCTTCATCAGCACAGCTCCAGATGCCCCTTCCTTCTCATCCAACTGAAACTGGCCCAGGGGTGGGGTGGTGGGAATAGTCAGGGCCAATATCTGATAGAGGCTCCCTGTGCACCTGCACCCCGCCCACCACGTGCCGCTACAGATGCCAGAAGACACGCATAACTGAGAGTGAGCTGGCCTTGAGTTTGTAGCTTGGAGATGTCCATACTATTCCTGCTGTCACTGATTTTTCTCTGTGATGTTGGACAAGTGCCAAAACTTTTCTGTCCTTTCATTAATTCATGAACAATATGTCTAATCCCTGTCTCGTAAGAATGCTGTGAAAATTAATGAGCTTATAAAAAACTAAACAAAACTGATGTAAAAGTCTTTGTATACCCTAGAGATGCTATAAACACCAGGTGATCTAATTTAAAATACAGATGTGTATTTCCATTTATGTGAGCCAATATAAGAACATTTAACTTTACAGAGCAATGGCTATTCAGTGATTCCAGAATGAGGGGAGGGGCAGGGAGGTCCTTACACAGAAAATAGAATATCTTGTAAGTGGAAGAAAATTGATGTTGGGTACTCAGTTTAACATTTTTAATATCAAAAACCTTCATTGAAGGCTTACAATGTGCTAGGTGCCATCTTAGGCATATATTATCATCTCATTTAATCCTCACAGTAATCCACTGAAAAGGTTCTTAGTAGCTCCCATTTCACAGATAAGAAAATAGAAATTCTTACAGATTAAGTAACCTGCCAGAGATCACAGATCTAATCAGTGGTGGAGAAAAGATTCAAATCCCAGAACTACTGTTGCTTACTTATTTGTCTTTCCATTAAACAACTGCATCCCCAACAAATATATAGACCCCCTAAGCACATGTAATGTTTGTAAAGTATTAACTGGCAAAAACACAAAACAAAATGAAACCTGGCAGAGCAGCCAAGGGACAAACTTAGAAATTCAAATGCTCGTTAGTGCTAAAGACAATACGTATGATAAATTAGCCCTAAAATTAAATAAATCCAGAGGAGAATAAATAACACTACATGTAGGAAATTCTTATTTGCATTTGCCCTTCCACTCAGTTCATTCTGGTAATCAGATTTATGACAAGGGTTTCTAGGGGTGCAGAATACCATCCCCCGTGAAGCAGGACATCTCTTGCCTGGTAATCCAGCCTCGTCCAGCCCCATATCCCCTACAGCCTTGGGCAGTTCAGATTCCCTCTCAGGAAAATCCAGTACGACTCAGTCAACACTGACAGAGGGCCAGTCAAGCACCAGGCACTGGCCCGACTACGCCTTCCAGCTCGCAGGGTCCAGGCTCGAAGAAAGCCCCTCTGACATGGGCTTTAACAGCGCATTTGCCTACAGAAATGACAATAGTCAATCCTTTTCCATGCCTCACTTATGGCTGCAAAGAAGAAGTGAAAGTGATTCTAGGCGATGCTCAACTGACTCCTCATCACAAACCCAGCAAGGGGACTTGGGTCCCCAGTACTCTGACTTCCCTCTCTCTGCAGCCTGACATCCTGGCCATCGGATGATTAACACGGCATCCTGTGAAGGGAGCAATCACCTCCCGGCCCCCAGAGGAGTTGGTGACCCTGGGCTTCCTCCAGCCCATGTGGTGTCCACCTGTTTCCTCTCTCTCCGTCATGCAGTTCTCAAGATACTGCCTAAAGCCCAGAAGCAGAAAAGAACACAACCCTGAGCCCTACGAATGGAGCTGAGCTTAGTCAGCCATTCAGGACAGTGCTGGGATCTTCTCTTTCCAGTCTCAAGAACCAAGCCCGAGGCCACTGGGGCTCCTCCACACCACCTGTAGACTCCATTTTCCGCCTCAACCAGTAAGCATAGAATGATGGGGAGGGGAGGGGAGGCATACCATTCTCCCCAGAATGGAACTGAAGAAAAGAAAAAAGCCAAATGTGAACACCCAGGGGGCCAGTTACACCCACATAACTCTCTGAGGCCAGCCCCAAGCTGATGGAAAATAGGCAGATGCCTACCGGGTGGCAGGATTTTAGGGATACTGAGACAGTGCGCCCTGATTGGAAAAGATTGCCTTCCCCCAGGCTGCCAGCTCAGCTCATGGGCTTACAAGTCTTTGGTCCCATTTTGTCTGACCATGTTACACAGGCTGAGATAAGACCTGGGCTCCTGGCTGAGGCTGGTGTGCTGTCCTGGGGGCTGGAGCTGATCTGGTCACTATGAGCAGAACAGGTCCAGGAGTAAGGGTCAAAGCATGGCTGAGGGGTACCCACCGGGCCCCCTCCCATAAACCACAGGACCCAGAGTCAAAATATAAAACACTTCAAGCACTCCGGCCTCACTCACTGTGATTGTCTCACTTTCTAGTTCTTTCCTTACCCTCGCTGGGGTATTTTTCTGGCTGCTCTATTTCAATGCCCACTCGATGCCCTTTTATTTTTTTTTCTCATTTCTAGTACCTTCTTTGCTGCCTTGGATTGACAGTGGGCTTTCGCTTCCATGGCACTAGGGCAGGGAAATATCACCAAGAGGCTTTGCAGTCAGACGGGGGCCTAGTGCCCACTCTGCCATTCACTACCTGCACACGCATGAGCAAGTTATTTTAAACTCCCTAATCTTTGGTTTCTTCATCTGTCAGATGAGGTCACTAATACCAGCCATGTAGGGTTATTGAGAAGATTAAATAAGATAAAGGATGTGAAGTTCAGAGGCTGGTAGGATGTCAGGAATGGTCACACTCATCCCCTGGCTGTTCCCAGTCCAGGCTTGAGCAGCTAGCTGCCCAAGCACAGGCCAACCCAGCCCAGCCCCCTTCCCAGCCAGGCTCGTCCCGACCCAGCTGAGAGCTGGGGGCACAGGAGAGCAGCCAGGCAGTGCCAGGGGGGAGGTAAATACTGTCATCAGATCCAAGGGGGGGACAGGCACAAAAAGAAGAGGGAAAGCCAGAGGCCAGTGCTAGATGAGGGTCCACGGCTAGGGCTCAGAATAAGGCAGGAGTGTTTGGGGCTCAGCTGTAGGGGTGCTGACTACACGGGTCTTCAGGGACGCATAGGGCTTCGAAGTGAGGAGCTAGACAGAACATGCTTAACATGACATCCTTGAAGGGTAATAGGTTATGCCCGCCTGGCCAATGGACACATCAGGCTTGAAAGGGTTTCCCTTTCCAAGGACGAGGGCACTAGACCCTGGAGGGGAGAAAGGAGAAAGGCATCAAGGGACAGGACACGTTCAGAAAGGGGAGGATGTACCCCGAAGATAAACTGTTAAATTCTGCTTTCTTTTCCTTTGGAAAGAACTGCAAGTTTCTTCAGCACCAGGCAGTAGATGCATCTTGGGTCCCTAGTACCAAGCACAGGGCCTACATGGATGAATAAATAAATATCATAACACAGTTGCTTTCAACCTCTGTCAAGACTGTTGGGATCCCAGCCCCGGGCAGCAGCTCTTGATGGAGGCATCTGTCGGTCTCCCCCACTTACTTAAAACTACCCTTCCTTGCTTTTCATTCTCGGGCTCCACAGCCCAACTCTTAAGAGGCAATCATTGAGACAGTGGTCAAGATAGTGGCTAGAAGTGCAGACACTGGAGCAGGACTAGGTCAGTTCAAATCTTTCTAGTTTGGGATTTGGGCGAGTTACATGTCCTCTCTGGGCCTCGAGTTCTTCATCTGCAAGATGGGATATGGCAATTTCTCCCTCACAAGGTTGTGTGAAGGTTATGGAGCTTA